CCAGATTCTACCTTGTGGAAATCTGTTGAAATGGAACCTTGTACCCAGTCTCTTCTCATGGCATTGCCACAGACTCTGACATACCCAACCAAAACTGGCCATGCATCAGGTGGTTTGGGGTGCTTGATATGCCTTTCCTTTTCCCTCTGACTTTTCAAAACAATTAATAAATACCATCCTAAAACATATTTAGAAATACATACAGGTATGGACAGAGAACTAGATACAGATATAGATGGGTGGCTGTTTTCCTAGTGAGTCATAACTCATTCTCACACTACTTTGTATTCACTAGTCCTTGTGTCAAAGGTTCCCAAAAGGTTATGTGCAATGAATTAATTTTCTCTTTGTGCTCACCAGACAGACATAATACTGTTCTCTTTTTCACAGCTGAAAAATGGGGAAGTGTCCATCAACAGTGAGACACTGCTATGTGGAAGAGCTGCAGATACCTGATTGGCCCTGACCCTCAACGAGCTAAACTTGATGACACGTATATCATCTGAGCAATGATATTCAGAGTCCTAGAAGCCCAACAAAGTCACTAGATCACATAAAATTTCATTTAAGGCGTTAATAAGCTGTTTCAGCCAAGAGTTGTTTTGTTTTGTTTAATTTTCTCTACTACTTCTTCATTTCTTGCTTCCTGGCTCGGGTCCTTTTAAAAAAATTGTTTTTTTTTTTTTTTTTAAATTGTTAACCACTTTAGATACTTCTTGGAAAGTAATGGTCTACAAATCAAGCAGTAATTTAAAGATGGAAATAAAAATTAGCTGGTCATGAAAACCATATGCTGAGTTAACTTAAAAAAAAACATGGCAAATGCATTTTATAAAATTTATAATAATTGTTCTCCAATTTACAACATTATTCAATAAAAAACTGCACAAATTCCCAAACTTCAGAAGCCTACTATAATAGATTTCCTAAGATTTAGGTGTATATCATGGATAATTTGTGCTTTATATTGTAATAGCTATAAAACCATACATGTTGTTAGGAAATTATGTTTATGTTCCCTCCAAGACCATGACCCACAATGCATGCCAAGGTCCAGTCCAATTTAGCAATGGAGTATTTCAAAAGTGGTACTTGAGAAAAATATTACAGATAGTTTTATACAGGATAACATTTTTAATGCCCCCTGGAGATATCTGAGAACAAAGCTGGAATGTGCCAAAATCTTCAAAGGCTACACTCATCTGAAGAGAACCTGTTTCACATTTGTATTTCTAAGAAGCTACTTTTACGACTCCTGAACACATTGCACAGAAATCTCTGTACACATTTATGATATTCCTGTGCCTCTGACTATCACACCTGCCATAGCGTGAGGCCTCCAAATTGCTACAAAGAAAGCCAGCAGCAGACTCACTAGCTGGCTGAGAATGGTCACGAGATCCTAGAAATCTTTCCTTCGCACTCCTCCTTCCCCTTATTTCCTTATTGTCCTCTTGTTTGATCTGTTGCTACACTGGAAGAAAGGTTCCACTCAAATTGTTTCTGCTTCATAATGCAGAACTGTTTCATTTGCATATTTTCCCTGTTTATTTTAGAAGTAAGGAGGTTATCACTCACTGACTGACATGTGTGTCTGCTGGGCGGTGGTGGGAGTACGTGGGCAGGATTATTCAGGTAAGTGGCTCCTAGATGCTCTCACTGCCCTTCCTTCCTTAGTGAGGCAGGAGACCCCCAACTCCAGTCTCCGATGGACCCCTGAGCAGCTGCGGAGCACTGTGAACAGTGCTTAAGTTCTTTTCCCTTTTTATTTTCAGCGAATAACGTCGTTCTGTACTTTTCTTCTGGAGCCTTCTAAACAGGAACTACAACAACCCACTAGGGAGAGAACATGGGAGGGAGGTGGGAGGCGGTCAAGTTCTTTCTGCTCCAAGTAGAAAACTAAATGCGACTTGAAGTGCATCTATGTAAACAAATGCAGGGATGCTCACATCTGAATTTCCACAGAAGAGGAAGACTCTCCAGCTGTGGACCCAAAGTGAAATCATCACTCCATCTAATGCCAGTTGTTGACAACCCTGCTTTTTTTCATCACTGCTCTGAAGAACCCAGTCTCCTGAGCTGTCTCTGACAAAGGGCCACTGGGTTTGTTGGCACGTTTCTGCCCCTGGCAACGTGCAAAAGAGGGCAGGCACCTTAAAGGCTCTTAAGCATCTGTTCATTCCCTCTCTGAGTAGCTCTGGTTCTGGAAACTTTAGTGAAAGAATTAATCAAAAGACTCCTGGAAAATGACATGCTCTCTTGCCTCCAGGCCTCTGTACTACTTACTTCCTCTGCTTAGAATACCTTTTCTCTATTATTTGGCCCCCGACCAGACCATCCAAATAGAGGCTGGAAGCCCTGCTTTGTGCTCCCTAACACTCCGACCTTTCTCCCAACTCAGCACTCGTGACATTATATTGTAACTGCTGTCTTGCTCATCAGAACCCTAACCTCTCACAATAAACTCCCAGGGGCAGGGACCACGACTCACTTGTTTGTATCACCAGCTTTTGAAGTGTTTAGCTCACAGAAACCACTTGAGAAATATTTATTAGATAAATGAATAAATGGATGGACGTGTGAGTGAACGAGCAGATAAAAGATAGCACCTAAATACGACAATCTCATCCTATTTGATCTTCAAAAATACATAATTTAGTTCCCAGTGTATTCTAGTTAGAACTGGGATATAACTAAGCCCACGCTATGAGGGGCTGGAGGAAGATTCTAACCGGGAGGATACCCAGCTTGAGAGTCACTGTGGATGTCCATGAGAGGTGGGGAAGGCCTGAACCAGATGGCAGCAGTGGGCTGGGAAGGAAAGGGTGGGTCAAGATTTGTGTTAGAACAACTGGCCTTGGGAGGTGTGGAGGAGAATGCCAGCTGTCTCTCCCATATCTGTTTCCCCTTCCCTGCCTGGGAACCCTATCCTACACTTCCCCGCCTCTCTTTACAGTTACATGAGGCCATGTGACTAAGTCCTCGCTGATGGAATCTAAGTGGAAGTGACATCCGCCAGCTTCAGGCCAGGGCTTTTCCGAGTTGGTCTTCCTCCTCCAGACCCACTCTCCATTTCCATTAGCTGGTTGCAGACTTGACAAAGCCCTAAGTCAGTGGTCCTCAAACTAGTCAGCCTCAGAATCACCTGGAGGCTTCTTGAGCAAATGGCTGGGCCCCACCCTACAGTTTCTGATTCAGTAGGCCTGCAGTGGGCTCTGGTAATGAGCATTTCCAACAAGTTCTCAGGTGATGCTGATACTTCTGGTCCATGGACCACACTTTGAGAACCACTGCCCTGGGGTACGGTGGAGCCTCATATTGAAGGAACACGTGTCTCTAAATGGTTGCATTAAAGAGAGCCTCCTCTCTGACTGAAACACCCTGCATGAAATAGATTTCCACTGTGTTAACGCCATCCATGTTTGGGTCTATCTGTTACAGTAACTTAGCCTATCCTAGCTAATACAGGAAGAGCTGAGGGAGAGGAGAGCTGATTTCCGGATTTGGTACTTGGGTAAATGAGGGAGTAGAAGATAATGAATTTAATTAGCACAGTCTTAACCAAGCTCTCCACTCCACTCTGGTCTGTTCACCTGCCCCACCCTCACCCAGGGCCATCTAGCAGAAGGTTGTTTCTGCCTTTGGTTCCTGTGTGCTCACTCCTCTGTTAGCTGAGTCCTTCTCGTCTTTTAAGGCTGCCTTTGAGACTCACCTCTCTCCTGAAGACTCTCCTCCGCCTGCCCAGGTTCCGGTGGGATGGACAGGGTCTGCTCCTCCCTGAACTCCTATACCCCTCTTGGCTGCAGCCCTCATCTTGTAGGCACTCCTAACAGTAACCCCTGCTATCTGGATAGCAGTGCACTGTTAACAAAGCACTTTGGCTTTTCTTACCTCATCTAATCCCCACAGCAACCATGTGTAAAAACGTGGAGGTGCACACAAACACACACGTGCGTGCACACACACACACGTGTGCACACACGCACTCTATTTATTATATTAGCTAACACTTACTGCAGATTCCACATCCAGTGTATCATTTCCACAAGTCTTGAGAGCAAGGACATTTGCTGAATGACTGAATGAATCAGTTTGTTTATGGTAACTGCTGACTGTGGTGCCTGGGACCAGGAGTTTAACCCTTCTCCACCCTTTACTTTTCCTCCTCCATAAAATGGAACAATAATTACCTTGCAGTGTTACTGTGAATATCAAGTGAGACAATTATGCAAGGGCCCTTTGTGCATGGTAAAGCAACATTTAGACACTAGTAACTAGCTATTATTACCCTTGTAACATTTCTTCCATTTTCAAACCTTGTCTTGGCATGAAAGATCCTGCAGGATGTGACTCCGACTTACCTTTCCAGGCTTGTAACACTTCTTCATGACCACCTACATTTTAACCACTTTACCATTCCCCGAAAAGGCCCCATACTTCCTGCCCCGTGCGTTTGCACACACTGTCCTCTCCCCAGAGGCCCTTCTGTAATACCTTTGTCAGTTAAAATCAAGTTTCAGCTCAAATCCCCTCTTTTGTGAGGTCTCCAACCAGATGGACTCTCCCCTTCCTTGGGGACCCTGCAGCATTAGCTTGAACCTCCATTATTGCCCCTGCCTTGATTCTGGCTACCATGGCTTAGCATATGACTTCCTGTCTCCCCACTTTCCAGAGATGCCTCTCAGTTTCTGGCTCATGGAGGGCTCCCTTTCTTGTTTTCAAGAATGGCTGTGTTTTATATCATTTTAGTGACTTATCTTTTTGTGGGGGGGCAGTGGGTGGGGATTTTATCATGGACTTGATCTGCCAACTTGAAAACAGAAGCATAAGGAATACATACAAACTAATAAATGGATAACTGCAAGTCATCCATAAATCCAGGAGGATACTCAGATTTTGGCATTGTTTTGGGAGGGGGCTGGAGGGAGAATGTTTTTCCAGATAGCTCTGGCTTTAAACATCAACTCCCCACTCAGAGCCTTTGAGGGGCTGTTCATTACCTGTAGTGCTGAGGCCAGTGTACTCGGGGGATGGGTTGCTGACAGGGGAGGAGGGAGGTGGCACTTCCACGGACGTGGCAGATTTTGCTGGAGAAAACGATGGCACTGGTGAAGGGGTTGGTGGGGCAGCCTCCGTCAAGATAATCTCCTCTCGGACTTCTGCTATGGGTAGAGAAAGGGTGGGTTCTTAGAGCCAAAGGTCAAGGCAAGTTGTCTTTCAGGGACTTTTAAAAAGCAAATATTCTTTCTAATCTGTGTCATGTCACTCCTCTGCTTAAAACCTCTGATGGTTTCCCATCACCGTGGTGGCATGCAAGGGAATTCCCACGTACACACATGCCCGCTCTCAAGAAGAAGAAGACATTATTGGTTTCCCACCATTTGACTTGTTCACCATAACTAAATTCTTTGGGATGCGGAGCTAAAGAAACACAGAGCACAGAAGTAAAGATACAAATCAGATTGACAAGGAGGACGATTCCCAGTGAAATGCCGGCTTACCGGTGCTTCCTTCTCCCTTCATGGCTCGCATGAGCTCACTGGCGCGCTCCTGGCAGTGCAGGGATTCTAACAGGTAGAGCACATAGTCATCAAACATCAAGTGAATTAGGTGAAAAGACCCTGGTGAGAGAAGATCCAAACAGAAAGGTAAGTCATGTCGGCTCGGGTGTGCCCCTCAGCCTGGTCGATAACACGTCACACGGTGCTCTGACCCTCTGTCCTGGACCCTCATTCCCTCTCAGTTACGGATCACCTTGCGGTCAGAGGATGCTCTCCTTTGTCGTCTCCTCACCTAGCCTGGTGTTTAGCATAAGGTAAGTGTCATTAACACTGCGGCAAGCGAGTCTTTTCCTTGCTCGATTTATTAATAGGACATCATCAAAAATGACACCTATTGAGCCATCTGTCAAAACGCGCCTGAGCTCTCACATTCGCACTGGCGTCATCCTCATCTGGGCACCCCTCACTTTGTTCAGCATTGCTTGACATAGTGCCTTGCATTTTTCTCTCTTCCACAAGTTTATCTTATTTCCCCGACTGGACTTAAGGATATTCACGGCAGGGACTTTGCCTTCTAACTCACTGGTGTCTACCAATGTACACAACATAATTCCAGGAGCATAACTGACACTTTACATTAGCAACAACGGAATTATTTCCTTAAATGTTTCTGAGACTTCCGTTTAGCACATGGTTGTTACAAAAGGTATTATAATGGAAAAGATTTGGTATCCTCAAGCAGTATTCTTCATTTTAAATTTGGAGTAGATTACTTCATAAAAAGGGATGTGAACAATCATTTTAAAAGATTTTTCCCATGTGCCAGCCTTTGTGCTCAAAGTATTATATTCTCTAATTTAATATCTACCACCACCTTGTGAGGCAGGTGCTCTTACTCCTGTTTTGCAAAGTCAAGTACTTGTGCAAGATAACACAGTACATTACTTCAAAACCATCTTTTTTTAAAATATTTATTTATTTATTTGGCTGTTCCGGGTCTTAGTTGCAGCCTGCGGGATCTTCGTTGTGGCATGCGGGATCTTTAGTTGTGGCAGGCAAACTCTTAAGGCATGTGGGATCCAGTTGCCTGACCAGGGATCGAACCCGGGCCCCCTGCATTGGGAGTGCAGTCTTAGCCACTGGACCACCAGGGAAGTCCCCCAAACCATCTTTTCTTGCACGTCATGCTGCATGGACAGTGGAAGATCCACATACGGAAGGGGCCTTCATGTCTGCTGTCATGAAGACCTCACGGATGCCAGCGTCAGAGAGGCCAAGCCTTCATCTCTAGTCCCATGTTTCCACCTCTCAAGGGACATCTCCACATGGACATCCTGCTGTCCCATGAAGTGTCCAAAACGTCTCACCGACTATTTACAAGCTGCCCTCCTCTTCCTATTTCCCTTGAGTTTGCTTTTTTTAGAAGCCTTATGAGACTCTGGCATTATTTATTATCTTGTGATCCTAGCATCATCATCAACACCACTATTACTGTCATCATCATCGTCATCGCACCTCCCATTTATTGAATGCTTACTATGTGCCAAGAACTCTGCTGAGCACTTAACACAGGTCTCATCCTTTCACCAAACTGTGAGATAGGTGGTATTATCCTCTCACACACAAGGAAATGAGTCTCTTCATTGGAATTAAGTAGGGATTGGCCTCAGTTTGCTCTGGCTCCGAAAATCCGTTCCCATTTCCCCTACAGATCATCTGGTCCAGTCTCCTCATAGCACAGATGGGGAAAATAAAGAACATGGTCCCCAGAAGGGCCATTTGAGTTGGGCTCTATGCCTTTTCAGGTCTCAGAAATAAGGTGATGAGGCCCAGTTGGGGGCTTTCGGATGACTCCTCTTTGGTGGAATTTATTTTCTCCTTTTTAGTTGCACCTGGCTTCTTTGTACATGTGCACGCGCATGCGTGCGCGCGCGCACACACACACACACACACACACACACACATTTCAGATAGATTGATTCTTTTGCTCCAGAAATGTTACAGAAGAAAATCCCCGGCTTAACTCTGAGGCCACTGGATGCCCTGCAGGTCATGCACATCTACACCAATACCCCGTCTCTCCGGAGCCTGCCACCACCTATGATCCTTGTGCCCACAGAGCTCCACGTCCACGTCCCCTGTCCTGCACTTTCTTCACATTTTTCCTCCATCTCCAGGGTGCTGTGTCTGTTTTTTGACCCCACTTGGAATTCAGCAAGGTTCAGGGTTTTTTTGAGTCATGGTGAAATGCAGACTTCCAAGACTAAACTTTCCATCTACTTCCCCAAAATGAGTCCTGTGAACCGCTGAGGAGGTACAGCATTGTGGGTAACTGCATGGGTCTGGATCAAACTGCCCAGGTTGAGCTCCAACTCTGCCACTTAGTAACTGGGACCTTGGATGAGCTGCTCCTCGAAAATGTTAAAAATAAAACCAACCGTTTACTGAGCCCTTGCGCTGTGGCAGCCACTGGGTTAACTGCTGCAGATTTATTATTGCATTTAATTCTCATCACAACCATTTGAAATGAGCGATACCCTCCTTCTGCAAAGGAGGAAACTGAGACTTAGAGGAGTAAAGTAACTGTCCAATGTCACACAATTATTAAGTGGCAGACATGGGATTTGAATCCAAGACTGTCTGATTCTGAAGTTGTTCTTCAATCGTGCAATATGGCTCTCTAAAAGGGAAACAGTCAAACCTATTTTACAGAAGTACCATAATGAGGAAAAGTATATACTAGATGCTTAATAAATAGTAACTAAGGTCGCTTTTGCTATTAATGTTCTAACACCCTGTGATGTGACTGTTTTGTTCATAGAGTCAAAGAAGTCAAAAGATAGCATCAAATACCTAAAAGGAAAAGGTCTCCAAAATGAAGAAGTATTTGCTGAGATGTGGCTCTAAGTCAATAAGGATAGAAAGAGAGAAAGACACTATGAAACCGAATTAGAATGGAAAACCCTAGATAATAAAAATGGCTTTAGTAGTTTTAGCACAGGTAGGCACCTTGGATCATCTATACAGCACCCCTGTCTAATAGATAAAGAAACAAGATCTGAGGTGAAGACACTTGCTTAAGACCACACTGTTAGAAAACATCAGAGCTGGGTTTGGAGGCCAGTACTCCAGGGGAAGTGTTGATTTGGGGTTTCAAGCTCTCTTCCTAATGACTCTCATCATTTACCCAATTGGTCTGATAATTTTCAATCATCTTTCAAACAAGGAGAGTTTGTAGAGCTACTGCTTCTTGCTTATTACTATTGTGCAAAGTGCTCTTAGTACAAAGGAAACTTAAAGTTCAGTCACTGACTCCACAAAAGCTACAGTGTCCTTAGCAAAAATCAATCCTTAAGATTATTAGGTAACAAACAGTTCAGTGCCAGGGTACACAAAGACTGATGAGAGGGAGAGGGGAAGGAGGCAGGGGAGGGAAAGAGGGAGAGGAAAAGAGAAACATCAAAGACAGACAGGATAGAGGCAATTATAGCTAACATTCCTGCTTTATTTCTTCCCTTAGCACTTAACACCATCTGCTATACTATATATTGAAATTATCTTTATCATGTGCCTCCCTACACTAGATTGTAAGCTCCATAAATGCAGGGATTTTTATCTTTTTTTTTTTCCCCACTGTTCTATACCCGGTGTCTAGAACAGTGCCAGGCACAGTAGAGGCTCAATGGTTATTTGTTGGATGAATGAATCAAATGAGCAAGCACTGACCACTTACCATATGCTCTGTGCTAAGCCCTTTTAATTTTCCAACAACACTATGAAGGGTTTTTTTTTAATTTATTTATTTTTATTTATTTACATTTTGGCTGCATTGGGTCTTTGTTGCTGTGTGTGGGCTTTCTCTAGTTGGGGCGACCGGGGGATACTCTTCGTTGCAGTGAGCGGGCTTCTCATTGCGGTGGCTTCTCTTGTCGTGGAGCACGGGGTCTAGGTGCGTGGGCTTCAGGAGTGGTGTCACACAGGCTCAGTAGTTGTGGCTTGCGGGCTTAGTTGCTCTGCAGCATGTGGGATCTCCCTGAACCAGGGCTCGAACCCATGTCCCCTGCACTGGCAGGCAGATTCTTAACCATTGCGCCACCAGGGAAGTCCCAAGGAGGTATTATTATCTTCAGTTAACACATGGGGGAAATGAAGTCTCAGAGGATTTTAAACCACTTGCCTAAAGTTACAGAGCTATTGAGCATCAGAGCCCGTTATGGAAAAAGGTACTAGGATAGAGACAAAAGGAGATTGTTGTTGTTATATGGTAACATAGTTAATGGCACCTTATAGAATCAAAGCATTTCTTTTTTCTTATGAAAAGTTTCAAACATATGGAAAAGTATAAAGAATTTTAAGGGAATTCCCTGGTGGTCAGGGGTTAGGACTCTGTACTTCCAATGCAGGGGGCAGGGGTTTGATCCCTGGTTGGGGAACTAAGATCCCGCGTGCTGCACAGCACGGCCAAAAAAAAAAAAGAATTTTAAAATGAACGCCAGTGTACTCAACACCAAGCTTTATAATATTTTAACATTTTACCATATTTGAATCATATTTTTAAATTGAAGATAAAAATGAACCCCCTGTGTTCCCTTCCTTAATCCTACTTCTCTGCTTCCTGTGTTCATGCCCTGATGTAATCACTGCCTCGAATCTGGTATTTACTGTTTACATGCATTTCTATACTCTTACTGCCTATATTTATATATCCATAAAAACACATGATATTGTTTTTTATTTTCAAACTTGATAGAAATGGTACCATACTTTACAGAGTATTCTACAACCTGCACTTGATACTTTGGGTGTTTTTAGGTCTATCCACACTGACACATGTAGGTCTTGTTTAATGGCCATTGTGTGACTATGCCACGATTTATTTGTCCATTCTCCTGTCGATGAAATTTAGGTTATTTACAGTTTTCACTATTGGAAACTGGCTCTAATGAATATTTTTTGTACCTGTTGCCTAGGTACAAAAAATACCTGCCTCTAGGACCAGAGGTGGAATCAATGGGTCCAAGAGCACCTGCATCTTAAGTCTTAACGAGATAGTGCCACACTGCTCACCAAAATCTTCTACATCCTTACTGGTAGCATAGGAAATACAGTATTTGCCATCT